ATGAGCCTGCAAAAAATTTATAATTTAAAAATAAACATGGTATTATCCTTTATATTCCTCATAGTGCTCAAAATATAATTCGTGAGACGAAAATAGATTGTTTGAATATTTGAATTTCAACATAAGATTATTAACTACCAAGCTTTCCTTTAATCTCTCTCTTTCTTATAATGTTCTAAACGGCTAGAAACTCAGACATGAGGTTTGACGAGTTCAAAATGCGTGTTTGGTTTTGAAATAACGTAGAAAGAGGGGTATAATTGCAAACTATAAAAAATGTTGAAATACATGAAATATTCATCCAAAATCAAACTACAATACTTTCCTAAACCAACTTGAAACAATTAGTACTATTCGCGTGTACCAAATAGCAATTTCAGCATTTTTAAAGATTATTTTCAAAATACGGACCAGTGCCGGATTTTTCTCCAAAATCGTAGCCAACTGAAATATCCGGCATCTGCCAAATTTAAATGAAATATTCGACGAAAATCAAGCGATAATAATTACTGAGAGACTAACAAAGAGTCCAGCCTTTTTGAACCGCACCTGTTTCCTCATCTCTCGCTTGTGAGGCTCGTTTAACTCGACCCAAACCCACCAATAACGGGTCGGATCCGGTAAGCTTGTCGGGTCAAAGTTTGCCACCTCTGCCTGTGGTTAGTCCTAATCCCAGTCGATTTCGAGTCCTAGTTGATGGATGCTTGTGATTCCTAGTTGAATAAAAATTGCATTCTCAATTTTCTAATTCTTTGGAATTTATTCGTGATACCCAGTCCAATTAGGATACCGTTTATGATTTCTAGTTGGATCCGGATGCATGTATTTTATAAATATAGCATGTATTTAACTGGAGCTTGTTGGTTACTTCAACCGAATCTTTCTTTTTTTGTTCTACTTAATTTGTTCATGTGAAGTTTATATTGTTCCCAGCATCGAAGAGGATCCAATGGGCGACGCCGACGGAGTCGACGACTGCATCCTACAGGAAATCCTCTCGCGTCTACCCGCGAAATCCCTCGCCCGATGCAAGTGCGTCAGCAAGCGCTGGCGCGATCTCATCTCGAGCCCCCACTTCACCGAAACACACGTCGCAAAACAAAAGAAGAGGATGTCTTCCGACGCCAGAGTTGCGATGCTGACATGGGGACGGGGACCGCCGGGGTCGGGTGCGGCTGGCGTCTACCGTTTGGGTCGGGCGGTGGATCCGATCGGACGGTTGCAG